CGCTGCAGCGGGAGGAGGCGGCGCGGGGGGTAGGGCGGCAGGAGCTGCTCCACGTGCCGGTAGAGAGCGGGACCGTCCAGCCGGCAGCCGGGGCGCAGCACCAGCGCCGCCATCCCGGCACGACCCTCGTGGCCTGCGGGCGAGGGCAGAGCTTGGGGGGCCACCGCTGGGCTGGGGGGGGCAACACCACCATGGCGGGATCGGGGGAGCATCGGTACCTGGCACAGTGACGCCGTAGACGGTGGCTTCTTGCAGGGACTCGTGGGCCATCAAGGCTTCAGCCACCTCCGTGGTGGCCACGTTCTCGCCTTTCCACCTGGGAGAGGGACGAGAGGGATGAGCAGGATGGGGCTGAGCCCCCCAGCCATGCAGTGGGGCTGTCCCCCATCAGCGGGGCCTTTGGCACCTGTAGGTGTCCCCGGTGCGGTCGCGGAAGCGGACGAACTGGGCCGCATCCTGCTCCATCAGGTCGCCGGTGCTGAAGTAGGTGTCACCCTCGGCGAAGACCCCCCGCAGCAGCTTCTGCTCCGACAGCTCCCGGCTGCCGGCGTAGCCCAGGAAGGGGGTCCGGGGGGTCACCGGGGCGATCAGCAGCCCCGTCTCGCCTGCGGGGACGGCGACGCGTGACGGGGGGCACCCATGGGGACCCCCAATCCGCCCCCCCATCCCCGCTACTCACCCGTCCCCACGCGGATGCAGCGCCCGGCCGCGTCCCGCACCGGGGCTCCCTCCGTCACGTCGTAGCGCACGATCTCGAAGGGCGAGAAGAGCTGGGGAGAGGGGCCGGGTGGGCAGCAGGGTCCTGGCGGGGCCGGGCACGGGGTGGGGGGCACCCACCCCGGCCCCTCTCACCTTGTAGATGAAGCTGCTGCGCCCCACGGCCCCCGGCGTCCCCGTGTAGTTGAAGAGGGTGACGTTGCCCTCGGTCATCCCGTAGGTCTCCACGATGCGGATGGGCCCGAAGCGCTGCAGGAAGCTCCGCCAGACGTCGGGGCGCAGCCCGCTGCCCACCGCCAGCCGCAGCCCGTGCTCCCGCTCCCCGGGGCGCTGCGGGGCCGCAGGGTCAGATCTGGGGGGGCCCCCCCGGACCGCGCCACCCACCCTGGCTCCCCCAGACCTCGGGCTGGTTGACCAGATAGCGGCAGAGCTCCCCGATGTACTGGAAGACGGTGACCCCCTCGGCCCGACAGTCATCCCAGAACTGGCTGGCTGAGAACTTCTCCTTCAGCACACAAGTGGCCCCTGCGGAGAGCCAGGATGGGGGGATCAGCCCCCCGAAATGCCACCGGGCTCAGCCACGGGGGCCCCGGCCCTGCTCACCGATGCCGATGCAGCCGACGATGCCCAGGAGGGAGCCGGCCATGTGGTAGAGGGGCAGCGCCAGGTACACCACGTCCCGGCTGGAGGCTCCCACCAGCTCGTAGAAGCTCAGGCACATGATGGACTTGAGGTGGGAGACGCGGGCAGCTTTGGGGAGACCTGGAAGGGGGAGATGGAATCCAGACCCCCCCCCACTCGCCCGGGGCACCCTGTCCCGCCAGCGCCAGGCACCCACCGGTGGTGCCGGAGGTGAAGATGTAGAGGCAAGTGTCGTTCATGTCCTCGGGCTGCCAGACGTCCTCGGGCTCCAGCTCCTCGGAGGCCGCATCCAGCAGCTCCTGCAGGGCCACGACGCCGGGGGGGTACGGCCCCGAGCCCAGCACCCACACCACGATGCCGTCCTCCTGCAGGCTGGGCAGGATGGGCTCCACCACCGCAAACAGGTCTGGGAGCGGGGGGGGGGGGAAGGGGGGGGCGGGGGCCGGGCCCCGGGGGGGGCCGCG